GCATCAAGGCAGAAACAATGATAGTAACCCTAAAAAGAAGATATTCATGTCAAATAACACAAAACAGCCCAAATTGGACATCTTCTGTAACCTGGGTCTGGATGAGCAAAGAGGGGGAAAAATAAGGGAGAGAGAAAGAATGATCACTTTCCCAAACAATCAAAGTCTTGGGAAGAAAAGCCCAGTCTGGGTAGAGGAGTGAATAAATATGATAAAAGGGATTGCAGGAAGCATCAATGGCACATAAAAACTTTATATTTTTATCTGTTATTTTCAGTAATAAATGTCTGTACAGGTTCAGTAGATTTGACTGATCACGTAACCACCATAAAAATTAGGAAATAAATATAAATTCTTAAGAAATGTTTGACAACTATCTGGAGATTATAAAGATCTTGCATGTGCATAAAAGTAGCTATCCAACATGCAAAGTAATTTTCATTTTAAGATTAAAATATTGAAACTCTAGCCTGTCAAGCTTTTCTCTATTAAGTGCTGCAAAGTGTTATCTTCACTCTTCCAGGTATTCTTACAAAACATCTCAGCACATTGAAACTATAGCCTGTCAAACTTTTCTCCAATAAATGCTGCACAGTGTTATCTTCACTCTTACAGATATTCTTATAAAACTTCTCAGTACATTGAAACTATAGCCTGTCAAACTTTTCTCCAATAAATGCTGCACAGTTTTATCTTCACTCTTACAGATATTCTTATAAAACATCTGAATTCACATTAAGTTGAAAATATATGCTATATTTCATTTCAACAAAGAATATATGTTATCTTCATTCTACTCAATACTTTTCAAATTATTGGATCAAGATAAAAATATATTTCTTCTATAAAGATTTGACACAGTTACCATCATTCATGTTTTAATATTACTGATAGACATCTTGGTAAGTCAAAAATATGGTTTCTTGTTTTCCAATTCAATAAAGACTCTACAATGTTTTTCATGTTCTTCCAGCTATTCTTCTGAGACAAGTAAGAAACTTGAAATTTCATATCAGGTTATAATTCTGTTTCTTCTTGCCTTCATGTTTCAAAACATTCTGGACAGACATTTCCTGATACCTGAATTTCTATTAGGATAAACTTCCACAATGCTGTCTTCATTTTTACATAAATTCATGATGAATATTTAAATACATGGAAAATATAATATGATGTGATTTACTTTAATAAAAACTGTACACTGTTAACTTGATTCTTCAAGAAATTCTCATAGGATTCTCAATAAGTTGGAGATAAACTATCAAGTTATACTTAATATGTGTTCCATGTTATCATCTTCATTTTTCAAGGTTATTAACAAACATTTCAGTAAGTTGAGAATATGAGCTAAGAAATTATGCTTTCATTAAGACTTTTTATTGTGCTATTTTCAATCTCCAAGACTTTTTGTATAGGCACTTAAAGTACATTGACCATATGATGTCAGGTTATAATTCTGTAATTACTGTATAAGTTGCCACCTTCATTCTTCAAGAACTTCCTGTTAAATATTTCAGTAATGTGGAAATATGAAGTATCAAGTTCAGTTCTATAAATATTATATACGTGTTATCTTCATCATTCCAGACATTATTTGAAAAACCTACCCAGTCAGATTAGAAAACTATGTATACTGTACACTATTATATTCATTCTTCAAGATATAGACAAATATCTCAGTAAGTTCAAACTATGAATTGTTTTTTTCTTGTACAAAAAGTTGCCATCTTCAAAATATTCTTAAGGGACATCTCAATAGATATACTGTGAGTCAGATTATGCTTTCATTAAGACTGAATGCTATCTTCATTGATCCAGATATTCTTGATAGAAATCTTTACAAGTTAAAAATATGAACTCTCTGTCTTACATCACTAAATACTGTACACTGTAATTTAAATTCTTCCAAATATTAATATTGTGCCAAATTTTGCTTTAATAAAGACTAAATACACTGTCTTCATTTAATTCAATGAAAATTCTACACTGCCTCTTCATTATCCCAAATTATCTTGAAATCATCTTGATAAGTTGGTGAAAATATACCGTGCATTAAAATATCCTTCCATTGACTGAATGTTCTCTTCATTCATTTTGGTATTCTTGATGGGCATCTTGGTAAGTTAAGAATATAAACTGTCTTGTTTTACATCACTAAACACTGTCCTTTAAATTCTTCAGGTTAAGCTTCCATACAGACTGTGTGTTATGCTTATTCATCCAGATATTCTTATGGACATCTTGGTATTTTAAGAATATCATCCATCTTGTTTTACAACATTAAACACTGTATGCTGTCCTTTAAACTCTTCCCAATACTGGTGTCATGTCAGGTTTAGCTTCCATACAGACTAAATGTTATTTCCTTCATCCAGATATTCTTTAGAGATATCTTGTTTAGTTAAAAATACGAACTGTCTTGTTTTACATCAATAAACACTACGCTGTTATTTAAATTCTGCAGGTTATGCTTCAATATAGGCTGAATGTTATCTTTATTCATCCAGATATTCTTATAGACATCTTTTTCAGTTGAAAATATGGCCTGTCTTCTTTTACTTCAATGAAAATTCTACACTGCCTCTTCATTATCCCAAGTTATCTTGACAGTCATCTTGATAAGTTGGTGAAAATACATTGGGCATTAGGATATGCTTCCATTGACCAAATGTTCTCTTCTTTCATTTTGGTATTCTTGATGAACATCTTGGTAAGTTAAGAATATAAACTGTCTTGTTTTACATCACTAAACACTGTCCTTTAAATTCTTCAGGTTAAGCTTCCATACAGACTGAATGCTATTTTTATTCATCCAGTTATTCTTGACAGACATCTTGGTACATTAAGAATATGAACTGTCTTGTTTTACATCATTAAATACTGCATGCTGTTCTTTAAATTCTTCCAAGTATCGATGTTGTGTCAGGTTATGCTTCCATACAGACTGAATGCTATTTTTATTCATCCAGATATTCTTGACAGACATTTTGGCAATTTAAAAATATGAATTGTCCTTTTTCTTCAATAAACACTGTAAACTGTCATCTTCATTCTTCCATATATTCCTAATGAACATCTTGTTTAATGAAAAATGTTGATTTTTCAAATTAAACTTCTCTAAGGACTGTAAATTGTTATCTTCACTTTTCTTTGTATTCTAGATGGTCATTTCAATAAGTTGAAAAATTAATCAGTTTGGCTATATTTCAATAAAGGTAAAATAGGGTTGGCAAGTATTTTGTAGATTATCTTGACATACAAATGTATTTGCAAAGTGAAAAAACAGCTGATCTGATAACATAATTTAACAGAAGTGTATTTTTGTGATGATTTTCTTCTTCATGAGTTGTGCAGGATGATTTTAAGCATTCAATTAATTTTTCAGATAAAACTTGCCATCTAAATTTCACCTATTACTATTTAAAAAAAATGTAATCTGAATTTTATTAACTGCTCTTTTGAGGTAGAACTAAATACTTCAACAGTGAGCTTTAGAGGTCTAAATAAATGCACTTTAAATGCTGCTGACATAGGTAAAACAGAGTCAATTCGATTTGTACCTGCTATAGATCAATCTTCAATAATTTACTGTTAACTGCAGCTGATGTAGAAACTTGAAAAGTTAAAATTTGTCCAATGGCTGACATAGATCAAACTTGATCAATCCAGTGTACATCTGCAGAGAGTACTGAATAAATGGAGACAATTATTCTTCAACCTGATGCAATTGTGAAAGATGCTTGAACAAATGTAATGAACAAGTTCTATAGTAAAAAACAACTCAATCATCTAGGCTACATCTTCAGATATATCAGTCCTTCCTCTAGTTATTTCAAACTTGTAGTTACAGCAAGTATGACTGATCAGCATCTCTTGGTCTATTGTTCAATCTAGCTTCAACTCGTATCTTTTTGTATTCTAGTGTCTATGATACAAATTGATTGTGACACTGTAATATGTATACACACTTAATTCCAGTAAGAGTTCTTTACCTCCTACAGTCTGTATATCAACAGCTAAAGACATTTTCTTTCTCATTTGCAGCTGAACTCCATCAAACTTTCAATATTTTAAAACACCAAGTGGACTAACAAGAACCTCAAGTTTCATTTTTGGACAATGAAGCAACCACTTGAACCTTCTGTAATTCAATATAAACCTTACGTAAGTAAACGATTTTAAAGTTGATAACAAAATTTACAATTTTCTTTCAATGTTGCTGTAAATAAAATAAATACTTGAAATTCCAGCTGAAAATGCATAAATACTGTACAGGTAATGAAGACTGACCTTTACTACTTGCAGCTCCTAAATTAGCCAATGGAATTTGAACATTACTTTCATCCACTGCTCTCATACATTAATAATGAGCCACTGTGATTTTTATTGCATTGAACCTGCATATACAATAACACATGCATATTTTTGTTCCGCAGCAGCAGATGTAAGAAAACTTGAATAATTATTTTCCACTTGCAGCTGTTTTACATCAATCTTGGAGAGAAAGATGTTACTGAAGACAAATGTAGTAATAAATCCATTAAAGGTGACGTCACAGATAGGTCAACATCAAATGGAACAGGATCAGGAGGAACCAATACTAACCTTTGAATGAGAATTGTCCACCCGCCGCCTCTTGTTATCTGTAAAATCCAAAGAAACATTTTGTAATAATGCAACAAAAAATAAACATAATTACAATAAATAAAATTTGATTATTGTGTTTTGAAAAAATGAAGAAGAGTATGATACATTAAACTTGAAATTTTAAGTTTTGAAAAAAAGAAGAAGTAAGATTATAAAGGTGAGACTATATCAAAGATGCAACAAACTTTTCATCTGACGATTAAGTAATCACTGTGACGTGTTTGCTTATAAATCTACTCTGTATTCCAAGAATAGATTAATGCTATACCTACTATAACTAAGCTTAGCCATGTGGTAATCTTTTGGATTTCAAAAGCCCAATACAGACCTTCTAAACAGAAAAATCATAATAAGGGTAGCTTATGATGAGCAATAATAATATATTTTATTCATGCAAATATTTGTGACAAACGAAGACCAAACCTACATATATACCAAGACAAATGTGTGAACACACAAGTTAATGCAAAATGCAGTATAAGTGACAGCATTCAATAATAATTACCTTTGGGTTTCTTTTCCTTCACCCATCTAAGCATTGGTCTGATTTTTTCTCACTTGCCCCAGTCTTTTATTTCCCACTTAATTGCCCTTGGCAATATCTGTCTCGTGACACTCTTTACTTACGTCAATGCGCCCTCTATCCTGGTACTGTATATAAGCACCTCCTTCAGATAATATTGCAACTTTCGCAGCCTCTAACACTAGCTCTTAGTAAAAGACTGGAGCAGGTGAGAAAAAATCAGACCAATGCTTAGATGGACAAAGGAAGAAACCCTGGCAGAGAGTAACAGCTGTAGTGTGAAAAGAGGTAAGTATGTTTTGGAATAAAAAATTCACAGTGATGTTGTCACTGTAGTATGACAATTTCTGTTGTGACATTCGTGAGCTATGTTTGAAGACAGTCAAATATTGACCACAATTGAAAGAATCAAAGAATCACTCATCTCAAAAACAGTTTGAAATCTGATGCAAGATAAGCATATGTCATTCTTTAAAACTGAAATGTTAATGCTTTTACCTATTGTCTTGCAGATGTACCATGTTGAGATATGACTAAATCTATCCATTTAAAACTAAGAGACCATGTAAGTTTAAGACCTTGTATATGTGTATATAATGTCTTTTTTTTTTGCTAACAAAAATAATTTGCATAAATTTCTGTTTTCTTAAACATATTTTGTTCACCTAGTTTATCATATTTTATGCACTAATTCAAAAGGTCTGGTACTACTTTTTTTATATGTGTGTACTTTACAACACATATTTAAAGAAATGAGTGATAAGTTCAAAATTTCTGACATTACAGTCTAGTTCTATAGATTTCTGGGTTCTTTTACTGACCTGACTACTTCTAGGTAATATTTTCCCTTTCTACTTACATAATATTAACCAAACATTTAACAATACCTCCTTGAAAACAAGCTCCATTATTAGTACTAGCAGAAATGTTGCAATACGGAAGGTTGTTTGTGCCAGTAATTACTAATCATAGTATTCATACCTCATTGAAAAAACTTAAAAATAAAAGTGAAAATTTTTCTAAAGAGGCGTTTTTTCTGGGAAGTACTACATGAAAATAGTGTATGTTTTTATATATCAAAAGTGGTACCATTTATTGAAAAAATAATGTTTTTTTAAGAACTCTAGTTTCTCAGTACTACATTGAAAAACTATATCAATAAAGATACAACTGAACCCTCATGTACAGTCCTAGTGAATGTCATATTCTTGTTGTGAGGAGAGTACTTTAATTAAAAATTGTGTTCTAGTATAAAGTAATGATTGTTGCACATATCACAGGAATTTTTCTATTTTTCATCATGTAACTTGCTTTTTGTTACCACATTGCACCAACCAGTAATTTAAGCTTGAACAGCAGTGGAAGTTCCATTTTTTACATTAAATGTACAAGAGGACTACATAAGAATATTAAGCTGGTGATGTCTATAATATTACTTCTTATTCTGGGGTATTTTGCTCTGATAATGCTCTCTTGTATTATATACTTATAAATATACTTGTCAAGGCTGAATATAATTTTAAAACTATTTCTATTTGATATAAAATTCCTTTAGCAACTAATCCTACATCTTTTTAATTGATATAATAATATTCATAACAAACTGTCTGTGTGAAAAATTTCAGGTGCTGTTTTTACAAATACACATCTTGTGAGTCAAATCCAATTTGGTGACAAAAATAAAAAACTTGCCAAATTGCAAATATACAAAATAATTACACCAAGAGAATTTTTATGGCTTAATAGAAGATAAGTAAATATCAAATGTGATACTTATTTTAAATATGAGGTCAACTGTTCACAGACCTAATTTGATATCATATAGTGTAACACTTGATGATAGAAGACATATTCAAGCAATTACTCAATTTAAAATCAGACAGCAAATCTTTAGAAAATTTCAATAACTCATTTCTGTAGCAAAATAAAGTTCACTGCAGTTTGGTACATAAGTAATTAACTCAACCTGTACATATATTAGATTGACTCTGTAATTCTAGTTGTATCTTAATACATTTTGTACACTTTTAGCAAACTTGAAAAGTATACTTTACACACAAAATCACATTTTTTAATAAAGTACTTAAACAAAAGACTTGTCAGTGAATTTACAAAGTTAGTCTGACTCAGAGTAGTTTGAGTGCAAGTTGATTCAATGTTAAGGATAAAAATATTTTTCTTTCATTTTACAATTTTCATACTTCATTATTTCATTTACAATCTCCTAAATGAATATAAAAAAAATTTTGCTACTAAAATTTTACACTTTAGTCCTCATTTTCTCTACCTAGACACAAACTATAGCAAAATCATCTGTAGCAAAAGTTGAAAAATATGAAATATAATCAAAAGTAATTTTTTTTCTAGTATGACTGCAGATTGAAACAAAAAATTAAAATTATTTATCCTCTGCTTTCATTTAACTCTATTATTTTATTGCTTTTTGAAATGTGTATAACTACTAAACCAGTGTAACAAAGCAAAAATCAACCAACGAGAGTATAGCTCAAATTACAATAAACAAAGTACCAAAATGCATAATCCAATAAATAAAAAAATTTACTTTTTTGCTTTCAAAATCTAGATAAAAGTTTACTCTAGTTTTTGATATGGTTGTTGTTAGTACTTTACTTAATTTTCATTTATTTTAAATATGCAGTTTAGAACATAGTAATAACAAGTAAAAAGAATACAATATCCTATAACTATTATAATTGAAATGACTTTCTAATTAAGCTATAATTCAGTTAAATTAATTCCCTTTCCTTGTTGATGTGTTCTGGGAAATAGCAACAATGAATATGTATGCTGAATAATTTAACACTTTCATCAGAAAGTTATAGCCTTATACAAAAATCAGTAAGTTAAAATCATCTCTTTTTATTGGTTATAAATAATCCAATAGTAAAAGTCAGAGTATTACTGACATTTTGTTGAAAAGAGTAAGTGTTACGAGGGGCGTGGCAGTGGGTTTCATTTTATTGCATATCTGTCATTCAAACAAAATGATTGGAGGCTAGAAATTCATAGTTTAGCTCAAGATATCTATAGTGTAATTGTGAACTTTGTGGGAAACTTAGATCTTCATAAAAGGCAGAAAGATAATCTAAAATGGGCAATTCAGAGTGAAGAAATATCACGTGATACAGAAAAGTGACGACTGAATATTTATTTAGATATATCCTTTTGAGTAAAGAAATTAAAACTATTATAATAATAAATGTTGAATTATTAATTATATTTTCAAACCAAGTTTATTCATCTAAACTGATAATAAAGTTCATTAATTAAATGTAATTCTGTAAAACGTCATGACTTTTTCACTCTGACCTTACATGTACTAATAAGGTTAATGCTTACTTTTTTTCTTTGGAGTCAATTAGGCTAAATAAAAGATTAAATTTAGTCACAAGTAATACAAGCTATTAAAACCTTATTAAACTGAGATGTCATTGATTTCCAGCTAAAATATAACATCGAGGATTTCTTTTCATAGAAAACGAAACCAAATGCAAAAAAAGAATAATTTAAAATATGTACATGCCTCTGTCACTTTCAGTAGAATCTACAGTTCGACGTGTGGCGTAACTTCCAGGAGAAATTCTTTTATTCTCTCTAGGCTGGAATTCACTGTCATCCTTCTTGTCTCTCTTACTAACAGACTCTGAAGTATCCTCACTCTCAACTTTCCCCATGTTTTTAGAAGAGATTCTTTTTTCATCCTTTCCTTTTGAAGTCTGGACATTTAACATTACTTTTTTCCCTTCTTTTCCTACACAAGCGTCTTGATTAAAACCTTCTCTCATTTGAACTCTGTGAGTACAAGAACAATGACATATTAAAAAGCTGGACCAAGATTAATTTCTTAATGAATGAAACAATGTTAAAATATTCATATTGATGGGCCAAAATATATTAACCTTTTGCAATGGGTGCCCCCTTTAAATGCTTTTCTGCACAAGTCCCTGTGTTACATTCAAAATTTAACTTGTAACCATTTTGGGATTGTTATAGTTTCCTGCTATACCTTTTAAATTAGTAAGTGTATGATAACAAAGTTTGGCAAATTATTAGTATACATTACAATGCTTTCATATGCAAAATATCAGATTTTTTGTTATTAAGTCTTAAGGTTTGTTGAGCAGTGTTTTTCTCATGCCTTTTTTCTTTTCGCATGTTGTTGCTGAGATGTTTTGTGCACAGTGTTATCTTCACTCTTCCAGATATTCTTATCACTTAATAGAGAAAAGTTTGACAGGCTAGAGTTTCAATGTGCTGAGATGTTTTGTAAGAATATCTGGAAGAGTGAAGATAACACTGTGCACCACCTAATAGAGAAAAGCTTGACAGGCTAGAGTTTCAATTGCTGAGATGTTTTGTAAGAATATCTGGAAGAGTGAAGATAACACTGTGCAGCACTTAATAGAGAAAAGCTTGACAGGCTAGAGTTTCAATATGCTGAGATGTTTTGTAAATATCTGGAAGAGTGAAGATAACACTGTGCACCACTTAATAGAGAAAAGCTTGACAGGCTAGTTTCAATGTGCTGAGATGTTTTGTAAGAATATCTGGAAGAGTGAAGATAACACTGTGCACCACCTAATAGAGAAAAGTTTGACAAACTATATTTTCAATGTGCTGAGATGTTTTGTAAGAATATCTGGAAGAGTGAAGATAACACTGTGCACCAGTTAATAGAGAAAAGCTTGACAGGCTAGAGTTTCAATATGCTGAGATGTTTTGTAAGAATATCTGGAAGAGTGAAGATAACACTGTGCACCACTTAATAGAGAAAAGTTTGACAGGCTATTGTTTCAATTTGCTGAGATGTTTTGTAAGAATATCTGGAAGAGTGAAGATAACACTGTGCACCACTTAATAGAGAAAAGTTTGACAGGCTAT